GTTAAGTCGTCACAAATGGATATAGCAGACACAGTGTGGTTAAGTCGTCACAATGGATATAGCAGACATAGTGTGGTTAAGTCGTCACCAATGGATATAGCAGACATAGTGTGGTTAAGTCGTCACCAATGGTTGTAGCAGACATAGTGTGGTTAAGTCGTCACAAATGGATATAGCAGACATAGTGTGGTTATGTCGTCACCAATGGATATAGCAGACATAGTGTGGTTATGTCGTCAGTCTGAAACTAAGATAAAAACTCCTAGTCTTTATTTAGTGACGATTCTTAATCCCAGTTTTATAAGTTCTTCTCTATTTCACAACATCACACGCTACTACGTTTCTTTCTTTCTACAGTCAATGAACAAATTAATATGTCTGTGGATTAAAATTAGTTTAGAAAGTTTTAGCAGTTTTGGTTCTAGTTTTACTAACGTTGGTTTAAAGGTTGAGTACGTCTGCTCTCAAACTAAGTTAATTTTGACGTCTCTGACTCGACTCCTAACTTCTTATTGCTCGAGAGGATTTGGAATTTCAACTTGAACGATACATTTTTCGCACGCGGGCTAAACAGCCGCGTCAAAGACCCCATGTTTCAGTTGATCCTAGTTTTAAATTACTGACCAGTATTGCCCCGCTACACCGGGGCTTTGTTCTGCTTTAAAACAAAAATGGAATTGACTGTCACTCTTATTATGTATCTCCATCTAAAAGTGCGGATCGTATTATTGCATCCCGGCACGCTAGCCACTGAGTCACACCCTGCCCAACACAGTATATCAATAGGAACGTGCTTTAAATCTGGTGTTAGAGGCAGAAAATGGAGAGTATAATATAGGAGCTTTTTTTTACAAATAAAAAATAAAATATTGGTAGGTAAGAAGTCTATTAAAAAAATTAAACCTTCTGCCTTTATTATAGTCATGGCATTAAATAATAATTTAGGCTCAAAAATCACGCGAATCACACGCTAAGAAATCCGAGCGCTTTCGAAAGTCAGAAACCCTCATTCTTTAGAGTTGAATTCACCTTATTTTATGAATTTATTACAATAGGTTCATAAGAACTTGTACAAATTAATTCTGCAGCAAACCCTCAGCTCTTTCAGTCCTTTAGAAACTGTAAAACAAGCTGTTCGGCTGTTTGTAACTGTTTCTAAAGATATCCAATTCGTGTTTTGTATTGAAGATAATAGTATGACTCACCCTGTCCACTAAGTCGTCCAGTGATTTTGCTATTTTGATTGCCACAGTTTTGCTGTCAACTTCCTCATACCGGAAGTGACTGATGTCACTCAGACTGTTATCTACAGCCTCCAGTGTCAGCTCCGTTCTCGGAAAGACTTCAAGCCGAAATATTTCTTGACCTAATGGAAAAGTTAACGTCATGAAACGATCAAGGCCGATAACATAGCAAACAAAGATCGCCATCTTAAACCACTTGTGATTACATAAAAAGTGATAATATAACACCCGAAGATCGCCATCTTAAACCATACGTGGTTACATAAAAAGTTATAATATAACACCCGAAGATCGCCATCTTAAACCACATGTGGTTACATAAAAAGTTATAATATAACACCCGAAGATCGCCATCTTAAACCACACGTGGTTACATAAACAAATGAGTAATCAGACATTATTATTAGGGATATTATATTTTTAACACCAAATTACTTATTCAGTCTCTCGGGATACTTCAAGAAATAGGACATTGTGTTTCAACCATACTATGTCTGCTACAACCATTGGTAGAAGTTTTTATCTTAGTTTCAGACTAGGAGTTTTTATCTTAGTTTCAGACTAGAAGTTTTTATCTTAGTTTTGGACTAGGAGTTTTTATCTTAGTTTCGGATTAAGAGCTTTTATCTTAGTTTCAGACTAGGAGTTTTTATCTTAGTTTCGGATTAGGAACTTTTATCTTAGTATCGGACTAGGAGTTTTTATCTTAGTTCGGACTAGGATTTTTATCTTAGTTTCGGATTAGGAGTTTTATATTAGTTTCGGACTAGGAGTTTTTATCTTAGTTTCGGACTAGGAGTTTTTATCTTAGTTTCGGATTAGGAGTTTTTATA